GGCTTAGACCGGTAGAAGTCGGGTGATTTCCTGTCACCTGCGAGCTATAGGTGGTTACCTGGATCTGTTTGGATGACTATGAAGTCATGGTATAACTAAGTGTTAAATGAAGTTGAGACCGGGCGGAGACTTGCAGGGTTTTGGACTGTAGTGTTTCCGTCTGTGTCGATTAAGGACCGACCGTTGTTGGGCCTCGAGTCATGTTGAACGCATGCCTTACATTTAGGCTGGCGGATAAAGTACCTTCCGACCGCATGAAGTGGGGAGATTTTCGGGCCGAGTAGATTGCCATGACGCCCTTGTCGTGTCAAGCGGTGTGGTAGGACACAGGCGGGATGATAAGACCAAAGTGCGATCGGTCGGCCCCGGGTACATGTGGTTCTGGCAAACTCGAGATACGGAAAGTTGACTCGGTGATCAATATCTCACTTTAGCGGGTGAGTGAGATTTGTGTAAGGAATAAATCACCAGGTGGTTAGGAATCGATTCGAATCGCCATCGCTCCTGGATAGTGAGCACTTGACTTGAGTGACTTCATCGTAGTAAATGTTTATGGAACACTTGGACAGTTATAGTGAATATGACAGTATGGAAGTTGTTTAATGATCAGTGGTTATCATTAATCGCTTAATCACATGTTTACTCTAGTATAGGTGAAAATCTAGTCGACAGGTTAATAATAATTAACTTGACAATACTTTGCTTTTAGAAAGGTTCTTGAAATGCTAAAAATGCTTCTTTTTGCAAATGAGTCGACTACCCTACTATAATGCCTGCATAATCCTTGGTGTCATTTATTTTTCGGTTATGTCGGGTAAGGCATTTGAGTACCTTCTCGTACTCGTGGTTTTATTCCCACTTGTTGCAGATGGGCGGATGTACTATGGCTATTGTATCAAGCGCCTCTATCCTGCGATGGTGATGCTTAGGACCATGGGCATGTGTCATTCCTTACGTCTCATCTAATGCTTTTGTTGGAGATGATCATCAGCTGGCACTATATTTGAACTCCGTGTGAGTGTGTGTGGTTTTAAACAAATGACTTCCGCTACTTTTATTCGAACTTGTTTTGTAATAACTTTCATTTAAACTCTGATGTATCTGTTATGGAAACTTTTATGTAATATGTGATTGGTGACCGCTAAACTTATTACGATCATGGCTGGGACACGAGTTGGTTTGAAATCCTTCGTGATTTCACGGACTACCGGGTTATCTGGGCTTAAGTTTGCTCAATAAATGCGCTTTCTGGTGGATGATTTTCTTACTTAATTTCAGTATAATTGGTCGGTTCATTACATCACCATCTAGAGAAGTAAATCTGCGTCCACATGGAAGTCTTCATTTCCATCATTTGTTTGCAGGTCCTTTGAGTCTTCCTCCCTCCCCGGTCCTCCATTTCTTCATCATTGCACTTGCACCTTGTGGGTGTTTTGGTGCAACTCGCTTTTCCTCTTCTTCATGATCATCGCTTTTCGATTGCTGGTGCATCTGACCTTGGACTTAGACACTTCCTTTTGTTATTCCTCCCATATGTGCGGGTGACAGTATTCCTCGCACAAGCAGCAGGAGCCCTAGGCATATTGCGGCCTCTAAGCTGGTCGGTTGCACCAACAGCTTCATCAACATGTGTCCAAAGCATATCACTGCCATTAGATGCATGAACTGGGTCACAGTTGATGTCTACCCACTCATTTTCCCATTGAAACTCTTCTAGCAGCAATGGGTTGGATTTCTTGCCTTTAGAACCGAGCTCACGAATTTTCTGAAACCTTAATGTCATCATACGGTTGTAGCTAACAAATACCAACTTATTCAACCTAATGTGCTCCAAACGGTTCCTCTTTTTAGTATGCACCCGCAGCCATAGAAAATAGGAGCAAATTCATTAGATGGCTGCAGCATATAAGAATTCATTAGTATGCACCTGCAGCCATAGAAATTGCACTTACATGAGCAAAAGCGCTCCAGTTGCGCTCACAACCAGACGCCGAACAACAGAGGCTTACAATTCGTTTTGCTAAACTCTGTAGCTCGAATGAAAGGCCACCAAAAGCATCCCACAATAGAAATGTAGTTGTAGATTACAAGAAAAACAATAATATAATCAGTAGCTCATCACATAGAGAATTATAGCTTAATTAAAAGAAAGTGCTGACTGCTGAACTGCTCATTACTTACTAGGATTTTTGCTATTTCTCTCTACTATTGCTAATCTCTTTGAGAAACATTCACCCTTAGTCCTGTCATAATCATCAGCTTGCTTGCTTATTTTCCTCGCTTCACTCTCATCAGGTACCATCTTCCATATAATGTCATTAAACATGCACCTTAGCTTTGTAGCTTGTCTCCTATCCTTTTCCTTTATGCAAAGTACTTTCCAGGATTCAAGAAGAGGGCTGCTCCATATAGTTTTTGCTTCATCTGGTTCTCCCATCTCTTGTCATAGCATTCCATTACATCATTCAGTAATGATGATTTGTCTCGCAAAGTTTCCTTGATGGTCTTCTTTGCAACATCCATTGCTGCCATTATCTCAGGAGCTGCTGGTGTTTCATCACCATCTGCTATCCTCATAGCAATGAGAAGGGGTTGTGTTGCTTTTATACAGCACTCCACTTTTGTCCAAAATGGTATGGAAAGGATTGTGTTCTCAGCCTGCCGCCCTTCAGCACTTTTTGACAAGCTGTTGGAATGCCATTCCTCACTCACAAACAAACTCCTCAGCCCCTGTTTGTTCTTATGCATGCTTGCTAATGTGAGATAGGAAGTAGCAAAGCGAGTAACAGCAGGCCTCACAAGATCACCACCAATCTTCTCTCGCATAAGATCCAGAATCCTTCCATGCTTGTAGAGAAACCTACACACCTTCTTAGCCGAATTAATGCAAGAGCTAAACTCAGGTATCTTCTCAATGTCCTCCATCATCAAATCCAAACAGTGGGCAGCACATGGTGTCCAAAACAAAGTTGGGATCCTCTCCATAAGAATTCTTCCAGCAGCCTTGTAGTTTGATCCATTATCTGTGACAATTTGCACCACATACTCCTTCCCAACCTTGTCAATTTGTTTCTCTAACAAGTCTGCTAACATAGAAGCATTGGCTATCTCACTTGAAGCGTCAACTGAACCTAAGAAGAATGTTCCAGCTGGGCTATTCGCAAGAAAGTTGATGAGATGACGGTGGCTAGTGTCAGTCCATCCATCTGACATGATTGTGCAGCCATATTCCTTACAAGCGTCCTCATGCTTCTTTCTCAGCTCCTCTGTCTTGTTCACTACCCTATCAAGTAGTGGATTCCTAATCTCATGGTATGAAGGTGAGCGATACCCAGGACCATATTGCCAATGGACTCATGCATAATCTCCCAGCTTCTTGAGTTAATAGCATTCAATGGTATTCCATTCTCATAAAAAAAAATCAGCCACATGGTCATCTACAATTTGCTTTGCTTCCTTGCTCTTTGTGGAGTACTCAAGAGTGACCTGTGACATCTTGGACTTGTGCCTTTCTGCAACCACTTCTTCTGGACTCTTGCAAAGCAAAGAACTTACTGACTTGGAATGCTTCTGTGTTTGAGGTTTTGGTGGAGCAGAAACCACAAAGTTCGTGATTGATGCTTGAGCTATCTTTTTCGCTTGCTTTGATTTTATCCCAGAACTTGGAACTTGCTTTGACTTTGTCCTAGCATTTGCTTCATTTTCAGCAGCAGCAGAAGCACCACCTCCACCTTGATCTGTTTCTGTGTCCACCCCAGTGTCCGCAGGTACCTGAACCTAAGTCCTTGACCTTGTGACCAAGTAACCATTCATCTCACGCCTAACTAGTTCAGGTGCTTCACCACATTTCACTGCATCAGAATAGTCCCCAGTAAGGTGTTGCTTGAACCTTTTAATGCCTGCAGGGACAACCTTTTTGCAGAAAATACATTGGATGAACTCTTTCTTCCCTATGTCTGGCCAAAACCCATATTTCCATCCAGGATCTGATGATTTTGCCTTCCTCTTATCTTCAGCCATGGCAGCAAGATCTGGTGGCAATTTAGCTATCGCTTGAGCTATTAGAGATGCTTCAGTTGGAGCAGCTGACGACGCTGAGGCAGCCCCTCCTAAGACAGCTTCATTCTCAGGTAGAATTACCTCAACAACTACACGCCGTCGAGCATCCACTGCAGAGCGGCATAGCCACACAAATGTGTCACAAATTGGTGGCAACAGGCAATACACAGCAGCAGAGTAGCAGACATAGACAATAACCTTCAGAGGAGGCAGAGTGGTGGCTCATCTTGATGCTTGAGGCCTCCCGCGTCTGTCCTCCAGGCGTCGAGGAAGGAGCTCAGAGCGATAGTGCCTTAGAGGCGGGCGGAGCTACTGGGTCCCGGCAGGGGAGGAGACAGGTGCGGGTGGAGGTGGAGGCGCGGGCGGAGCTGCGAACGCGGTGAGAAGCGCGGACGGAGCTGCTGGACGCCGGGCCAGGGGGCGCTGGACGGAGCTGCGGACGGCTGGCGAGGGAGATCGAGAAGAGGAGCGGGAGTTGGAAATGTGCCGAGTGGGAGCTGGAAATGTGCGGCGGCTGCAGCTCCTTCACTAGGTCACTCACTCACTCCTCTTCTTCTTACCCTAATGGGCCAGCTAAAGGTGGGCCGAATTCTCCCTACCCAACTAGTCGTCCGGCTAGTCTGATCGGACGACTAATCGTGATTAATCGCAACTTATCGGACGATAAGGTTTCTAATCGGTCTAAACTAATCGAGGGCCCTTATCGAGCACCTAGTTACGATAAGGACGAGTCGTCCGATCTGAAAACACTGCCTTGTACTTCAGTTTGAGAATAGAAAAGGCATGTGTATTGTATTCGTGGAGTTGTTTAAACTTCTTTTTTCTTTTAGTTTGTTTGCCTCAGGATTTGAATTTGGGATGGATGAGAACATAAGTTCAATGTTTTCATACTGTATTAATAACAATTTCTTACTAACATATCTCTGCAACTTTTCAATCAGGGAGTATACAGGCATCACGAGGAGCTTAAAGCTGCTCAAGGGGTTAAAATTGCAGTACGAGTAAGTTTCGTTTTTATTCATGTTCTTTCTGTAAAAACGCCGAATCCAGATTTCAATGTAGTACTCATTTGCTTGTTTTGTCTTTTCAGGGGCTGCAACATGCTATGGCAGGCACTTCTCTCATTGTGGTAAAGCCGGGGGATGATATGGAACGAGCTGAAGCTGCAGCAATGCAAGAAATCAGCAAGGCCTGTTAGATGATATAGGTTGTTGGGCCATGCGCCCGCGTTGCCGTGTATCACGGCATGTAATCTTGGCTGTTACTATAACTTGTATGCTAAGTATAGAATAGATTAGATTAGATCAAGGTGTATCAATCTGTTGTAAACCATTCCATGTAAGTGCCACGGCAGGGGATCTTCCTGTCATATATATAACAAGGAGCCGAGAGACCGGAGAGGGTCATCTCGTTCACCCTATTTCGTTTTTCATGGTACCAGAGCCATACACGCCATAAACTTCATCCATGGCGTTTTCATCTTCATCTGCGCAGTCTGCGGCGGCGTTTCTCGGTCTCATGTTCATCCCTGTGACCGAGAAGCTGACCTGGAACAATTACCAATCCTAGAAATCCCAAGTCCTCGCGGCGATCAAGGGAGCCCAAGCCGGGAAGTTCATCGCGGTAGGAGCCGTCCCACCCGTCGAGCTCCTGGAGCCCAAGATTGAGAAAGAGCCACCAGTCTCCAACCCGGAGTACGAGAACTGGGTGGCCAAGGATCAACAGGTTCTGAGCTACCTGTTGAATTCGCTCTCCAAAGAGATCCTCGGTCAAGTCTCGGCTGAGGTGACTGCGTCGGCGGCATGGGCCAAGATAGAAAGCATGTTCGCGTCCCAATCACGGGCGCGGATCATCGCGATGCGAATGGCACTTGCCACCGCGTCGAAAGGTGCCTCCTCCATCAGCGACTACCTCGCCAAGATGAAGGGGCTTGCTGATGACATGGCATCAGCAGGCAAGAGACTTGAAGATGAGGAGTTGATCTCCTATATTTTGACTGGTCTCGACATCGTCTATGACCCAGTCGTCTCGGCGGTGGCGGCGCGCGTCGAGCCCATCAGCGTGTCTGATCTGTACACGCAGCTCATTAGTCATGAGCAGCGCATGGAGTTGCGCAACAACAACAACGGCGGAGGACATCAATCCTCGGCAAATGCTGCGTCCAGAGAAGGTCGTGGTGGTGGAGGTTCTCCCCGTGGTCACGGAGGGCGCAACGGCAACTATGGAGGACGCGGCGGTTCATGGTGGTACTGGTCGTGGCAATGGAGGCCGTGGCCAGAACCCTAACACGTCCTTTGAACCAGGCGTGTACTGCCAACTCTGTGGCAAAGAGGGGCACATGGTGGTGCGTTGCTTCAAGCGCTTCAATCGTGACTTCACCGGGCCGCCGCAACGGAGTGCATCCGCGGCAACTAGCTCCTACAGCGTCGACACCAACTGGTACGTCGACTCGGGGGCAACCGACCACATCACCGGCGACCTGGAGAAGCTGACCGTTCACGATCGTTACCATGGTAGTGATCAAGTCCATGCAGCGAATGGATCAGGTATGGAGATAGACCACATTGGTCATAGTGTGTTGCAATCCTCTAATGGCAAAATCAATCTACAAAACATCCTTCATGTGCCTAAAGCTGACAAAAGTTTAATCTCTGTTAACCGCTTGACTCGTGATAACAATGTTTTCATTGAATTTCATCCAAATCATTTTTCTATCAAGGAACAGCAGACGAAGAAAACGGTTCACAGCGGCAGATGTGAGCGTGGCCTTTATCCCTTGAAGCTGTCGAATAAACAAGAGCCTGGTGGTGTGAAACATGCTCTTGGTGTCATGAAACCATCCTGTTCTTTATGGCATTCTAGGTTAGGTCATGCGTCTACTCAAGTTGTTCAGAAAATAATTAGTCGTCATAAACTTCCTGTTTCTAAAGATTCAAGTCATCAAGTTTGCAATGCTTGTCAGCAAGGCAAATGTCATCAATTGCCTTATAATCATTCTAGTACTATTTCGTCAAATCCTATGGATCTTATTTTTTCTGATGTGTGGGGGCCGGCGCCTACTTCTGTAGGACGGTATACATACTATGTCAGTTTTATCGATGATCGCACTAAATTCGTTTGGATCTATCTGTTGCGACAGAAATCAGATGTTTTCAAGTGTTTCACCGAGTTTCAGCACTTAGTTGAGCGACAGTTCAATAAGAAAATTAGATCTATTCAAACCGATTGGGGGGGGAGTACCAATCCCTAAATTCCTTCTTTAAGCGGATCGGACTAGTTCATCGTGTTTCCTGTCCGCACACACATCAACAGAATGGTGCTGCAGAAAGGAAACATAGACATATAGTCGAAGTGGGTTTAACTCTCCTTGCTCATTCGAGTATGCCTCTGAAATTTTGGGACGAGGCATTCCTTACTGCTGTTTTTCTCATCAACCGGCTCCCATCTAGAGTTATCAACAATGAAACTCCCTATGAGCGCTTGTATGGTCATACACCTGACTATAGCTTTCTACGCACTTTCGGCTGTGCGGTTTGGCCAAATCTAAGACCATATAACGCTCATAAACTTCAATTTCGTTCCAAACGCTGTGTGTTCCTCGGATACAGTAATATGCATAAGGGGTTCAAGTGTTTAGATCCTTCAGAAGGTCGTGTCTATATCTCTAGAGATGTTACGTTTGATGAATCCATTTTTCCCTTTTCCGAGCTTCACCCAAATGCTGGAGCAAGACTTCGCTCCGAGATTTCTCTGTTACCAGACACATTGCTCAATCCAAATGCCAGTTTTGGGGATGCAACATTACTTGACAATGTTCGGTCTACTCCTGTGTCTACTGACTCTGCTACGAGTTCTACTCGAAATCTTGATTGTGCAGAATCTGAGGCTGATCCGGCGGCGGGATCGTCTTCGGGATCGGCGGCATCCGATCTGTTGCCGGGTCCGATCGGGGTGCCAACGTCCTCGCCTGGTGGTGCGCCTGCGCTCGACGGCGGGTCTTCTGCGCCCCAAAACGACGGAGCTCAAGTTAATTCACAAGCTGTTTTGCCGCAGCTTGATCCGGACACGGGAGACAGCACGCTGACCGGATCTGCTGATCCTGGAGCAAGCGGATCATCTACATCAGCTGATTCTGTGGCAGCGCCTGCTCAACGTCCTGTTACACGTCTTCAGCGAGGAATCAGTAAGCCAAAGATTTACACTGATGGTACTGTACGTTGGTGCAACAATATTGTATCATCTACAGGTGAACCTGCAACACTTGCTGAAGCACTGGGTGATCGAAATTGGGTTTTAGCTATGGATAGTGAGCATCAAGCACTACTTCGTAATAGGACTTGGCACTTGGTTCCACACCCAAAAGGGAAAAATATCATAGGTTGCAAGTGGGTTTACAAAATTAAGAGGAAAGCAGATGGGACAATTGACAGGTATAAGGCACGATTAGTGGCAAAAGGTTACAAGCAACAATATGGTATCGATTATGAAGATACTTTTAGTCCTGTTGTTAAAGCTGCTACTATACGACTAATCTTGTCCATTGCTGTCTCAAGAGGTTGGTCCTTGCGACAACTCGATGTGCAGAATGCCTTTCTTCATGGTGTGCTGAAGGAAGAAGTTTACATGCAGCAACCACCTGGTTATACTGATAAGTCACATCCCAGTTATGTGTGTAAATTGGATAAAGCTTTGTATGGATTGAAACAGGCACCAAGAGCATGGTATGCACGGCTCTGTGGCAAGCTGAAAGAGTTGGGGTTTCAGTCATCCAAAGCAGATACATCCTTGTTTTATTATAATAAAGGAGGACATACTTTATTTGTTCTTGTTTATGTGGATGACATTATAGTTGCTAGTTCTTCACAAGCAGCTACTGATGTTCTACTAAGAGATTTGCAGGCAGAGTTTGCACTCAAAGATCTCGGTGATTTGCATTACTTCCTAGGTATTGAAGTTAAGCGGTTGGAGGACGGTCTGATACTCTCGCAGGAGAGATATGCAACCGAGATACTCAGCAAGGCTGGTATGAGGAATTGTAAACCGATCAATACTCCTTTGTGTACTTCGGAGAAGCTAAGCATTACTAGTGGTGACAAGCTCGGGGAGGAAGATTCTACCAGATACAGGAGTATGGTGGGAGCTCTACAATATCTCACTCTTACTAGGCCTGATCTTTCCTTTGCAGTTAACAAAGTGTGCTAGTTCTTGCATGCACCGACTATCGCTCCTTTGGATTCTTTGTGAAGCGAATCTTGCGATATGTGTGTGGTACACGCAACATGGGTTTGAAGATAAGAAAGTCAAAGTCCATGCTTTGGTGAGTGCCTTCTCGACGCCTTGAGACTGGGCTGGGTGTGTCGACGATAGGCGATCCAACGCCCGGTATTCTTGGGGGTAATTTAGTCTCCTGGTGTGCACGTAAACAAGCTACAGTCTCACGATCCAGTACAGAAGCAGAATATAAGGCACTTGCAAATGCTACGGCGGAGATGACATGGGTTCAGAAGCTTTTGCAAGAATTAAAGGTATCCCATCCTCCTGCGGCAAGGTTGTGGTGTGATAACCTTGGTGCTAAGTATTTATCAGCAAATCCTATTTTTCATGCTAGGACGAAGCATATTGAAATAGATTTTCACTTCGTCTGAGAACGGGTTGCTCAGAAATTGCTTGATATCAGATTCATAAGCACAGCAGATCAGATAGCAGATGGTTTCACAAAGCCACTGTCGGCAGCCAAGCTACAGAGTTTTCGGTTCAATCTCAACCTCAGAAGTGGCTGAGATTGAGCGGGGGTGTTAGATGATATAGGTTCTTGGGCCATGCGCCCGCGTTGCCGTGTATCATGGCATGTAATCTTGGCTGTTACTATAACCTGTATTCTAAGTATAGAATAGATTAGATTAGATCAAGGTGTATCAATCTGTTGTAAACCATTCCATGTAAGTGCCACGGCAGGGGCTCTTCCTGTCATATATATAACAAGGAGCCGAGAGACCGGAGAGGGTCATCTCGTTCACCCTATTTCGTTTTTCAAGGCCATCAGCCTCATCAACGAGGATGAAAGGGGTGAGAATGAAGATGGAACAGAAATACAATAAATTAGTAGGATCAAGCATTGCAGGGATGGTGTATATGTGCAAGCATCTAGTCTTGGAACCTTGGAAGCAGATTATTAAACATTTGAAGGCGCTTGCTTTGGATGTTCCTGTCAGTGGTTGCAACTTAGGCCCAGTCCACAAGCAGGATGTCATGAAAGCAACTGCCATACTGAAGAGGAAAGAAGAGTATGTAGCCATCTTGGCCTTTGATGTCAAAGTAATGCCTGAGGCTTTTGAACTTGCAGCTGAATCGGGGTGAAGATTTTATGGCTGATACAGTATACAAGCTTGTTGATAGTTTTACTGATCACATTAATAAATTGAAAGATGAGATGAAGAAGCAATGTGCAGCTGACGCAGTGTTCCCATGCACCCTTAGGATTCTTCCAAACCGTGTCTACCATAGCAAGGATCCAGTTGTTTGTGATGTTGAAGTTCTGGAAGGCATTGTCAAGGTACTTTCGTAGCCCAGTGCTCTGAAGTGTATTTATTCGTAATTATATTTTTTGTGTTAGGGTATTTGAGTGGAATGCAAATCCATTACAACCAGTTACATCTTTGTTCAGCTCTTCTCTTATTTTAAAGATTCAGTCTTTGAATGTTGATTCATAAGTCTTGCAAAATTGATTACTAGATAGAGGTGTTAGTGAGTGGTTACTTGTGACTTGTTTCAGGTGGGAACCCCAATTTGTGTTTGTGTTCAAAGTAAGGATAGCAGTGCTGATGTGATTCATGCCCTTGGGAGGATCTCATCAATGAAAACATCCAATGGCATGCAGATCAATTCTGCCAGTAATGGCGTTGTCATTAAAGGTAAGAGCCTTAAACATAATTTGGTAGTTACGACAGGTGACAACATCAAAGACAACACTAATGAATTTCATTGCCACTACCAGATAATTGAAGGGCGGGCCTGGTGCAAGCGGTGAGAGTCTTACCGTCTGTGACCGGAAGGTCCTGGGTTTGAGTCATGGTCTCCTCGCATTGCACAGGTGAGGGTAAGGCTTGCCACTAACACCCTTCCCAGACCCGCGCAGAAGCGGGAGCTCTCTGCAGACTGGCACGCCCTTTTACCAGATAAGTGGGAGAATCCTCACGAGAGGTCCCGGTGTATGGACGCCATTTTAACTCTGACAATGAGCTGCTCAGCCAAATCTCTAGGAAATCCATTGATGTGCTGAAGGAGTACTATCAGGTAAGTTGGTAGTGCTAGTGATGTTATTGAGCTTGGGGCAAGCTATATAAATATTCTTCTTGTTGCCAGAACTCGTGGATATTCTTGTTGCAGGATGAGATGAGTGATGAAAACTGGCAACTGATCCGCAGGCTAAAGAAACAATTGGGGATCCCCTGAATCCTTTGAAAGATTTTTATACTATCATTTCCCTTTCGAGTAGAGACCTGTAATCAATTTAAGTTTTTATGTTTTGATTGTGCATGGAGACAGCTTTATTTTTTTTTGGATGTGTTTTAGATTTGTTCATGGAGACTCACTTTGAGTGGCTACTTGTGTGGTTTGGAGACTTTTCTGTTATATTCTGGATATGTTGAAATAAAAAATATATGCTGGACATGTTGAAATTGCTGAAAGTTCCTCTAGTTGTGCGTACTGTCTTCACTTAACTTCTGTGCAATCTGGTTACAATGAATTTAGCATTGGTATCAAATCCCTTCCTATGCCCTGCTGAAGCCATGAGAACTGCAACAGCGATGATGAACATCGACAGCATGGAAAAGAGCAACAGGAATGTCTTTCTCGATGACCTTCGGTATTCCCCAAAGAGGATGACACCCCAAAATGTGCTTACAAGGGGCAGCGCCTGATCATGGAACACCAGATTACAGTTGAATGAGATTACAGTTGCCAGGAATTACTGAAGCTGTGATGGATGTGAAAGAGAATACCTGGACTGCATCAGCAGCTGCGTACCCAGCAGCCTGGCCGCCCATGAACTGAAAACCGTTCCCAAAACCACAGAGCAGCCCTGCTAGGAGGGCCCAATGCCTGCCGTTCCAGTCCCTGGCGTATGCTCCGGCGGTCGATGCCGGCACACCGGCCATAGGGTGATACAGAAGCCAGACGTTGAGGCAGGCTCCGAGCACGAAACACGACACCGAGAAGTAGAAGAAGGCGGTGTAGACCACCAGGTGAGGGACACCCTTCCTGAGGGCACGCCACTGGTCGTTGGTGGCCAGGTTGATCGCCGGTGAGAAGAGAGAGAAGCAGGCTCCGGCGAGGAAAACCAGACCGAGGCCTAGCAATTTGCTGGAGCCAAACACCTGCGTCAGAAAAGCACGTGTTAGTGATGCTGCTGCATTTGTTCAAGCTTCATTCAGTTTTATTATTACTATAGAAGAGAGCAACCTTGATTGACCGTCTCTCCTCGACCTGGATGATGAACTCTGCAGTGCCTGGTTTCGCCTCATTGGAAGCGCTGTAATCTCCTCCACTGCCGTTCTTCGATTCTTCAGGAGCAGGCAGCAACTTCGCTGAAAAAACAGAACAAATTTTCTTCTAAGCTCGATGTCTGCACTCCTGCAAATATGTGTTCATCTTCCAGATGTTCAAACACTACCTTCGTCAGAAAATTCACTGCTGAGCTCGATGTCTGCACTCTTCCTGCAAATATTAGAGCTTCTTGACACATGCTTCTCAACAGAAATGCAGATTATTTGTTCAGAAGAAGAAATGGCTGTCTGACATGCTTAGCTTCTGTTCATCATCCTTGGCATTGGAAGAATGGACTGCTGCGCCAAGGAACACCGCGACAAGGAAGCACACAACACCTGGGAAGAGTTTCTTGGCTCGATTGATGCGACCATCAAGAAAATAATTTATGGTCGTACCTGCACATGAATGATGTGCCAACACCAGCAATGTCAAAACCAATTTCATACTGATGAAGGATTCGGAGATGTATATGTATGCACCTAAAACAACTGTCATGCTTGAGCAGATGACGTTTGTCACTGACAGACCGGCAAACGCCCATGCGTACTGTGAGACAAGGTTCCCAAGACTTAGGGCGAGGCCTCCGGCCATTGCGATTACGACTGAAGGCCAATTATCCTGCATCTGCCATGGCATTGCAGACAGAATGTGCTGAAGATAGTCAGGAGCGAAGTTTGGTGCTTACTAAGTGGCTGTTTGGATGAGCTAGAGCTAGCTAGCAGTTAGGGCTAAAAATTAGCTCAAATTAGCTAAAATTGGCTAGCTAGCTGGTTAACAACTAGTTGAAGAACTGGGCTACAAAATTAGTCACCTATTAGCCCTTCTGTTTGAATGCACTAGGACTAATTTTAACTAATTTTTAACTCGCTGGCAATTAGCTGTCGTATCCAAACGTGACCAAAGTCTCTTATATGGGAATGGTTAAACATGCAAACAGTGTGGCTGCAACGCTCAATTTTTCAGAAGCATCAGGGCCCCCTTGGTTTGGAAAAAGTTAATTTACTACCGAAAGGGAAGGCATGCCCGTCAAACTCAGATTAGCAATTTCTGACAATCCTAAGGGATCCAGAACACTGACCTGGGTCAGCTGAGTGAAGAAGTCTGGCCTGCTATCTCTAGCCTGCCCAAACGCGACGGCCATCAGGACGGCGGCGAGGAGGTTGGTGATGGAGTAGTCGAGGTAGGTGTGCTGAGGCAGCCGGCCTCTGCGCTCCAGCAGCGTCAGGAGAACTGGCCATGTGCCCAGGAGGAAGAGGGACGCCAGCATCAGCGCGACTGCACCACCGCCCCTGTCCTCCACGGCGACGGGCATCTCGCCCGACAGCGACGGAACAAGAACCGACGCCGAGGGATCTTTGATGTATGCGCAAGATGCAGTGCGACGCTGAAGAAGTACAGGGAGATCTCGCCCATCTTGGTCAAGCAGGCATTTTGACCTGACAAGGGAGATGATGCTGTAGAGTGTGCTGTTATTTGAATAAAAGATTCGTTTGAGTTCTGAAGGTCTTCTCCTGCGGTTATGGACTCCGTGATTTTTTTTGGCAGCTGTGTTTGAGCATATTTTTCGTTCAGAGAAAAAGAATTGTACAAACTTACAATCCTACTCAAGTAGGCTTACTAGTTAGCCAGACCTATCTCGACGGTGCCTGGACGTCTGAAATGACGTGCATACGGACGCGCGCGCAGCCCCTGTCCGCTGATATTTTCCCCACCTCACGCGCACCCGCCCGTCGCGCAGCGCCGAAGCGTCGAACGACTCGCCTCGCACACACAGCTCGCTCTGTCCGTCTCGATTCGAGACCGTTCGCCTTGTCTCGCATGTGCACCGTACCCCGCCCCGTCGAGCCCCGACCGTCGGCCCCTAGCTCACCGCACGCGTACCGTGCCACTATCACTCCTCGCGACTCTGGACTCTCCGAACAACATAAAAACACATGCAACAAGAACACACACTTGCAATTATATGTGTAAAACATATGCAATATCTAATTAAAATACTTGCAACTTGCAACATGAAAACGCTACAACTTACAACATATGTCTGGAACAGATGAAACATTTTGAACAACATCGATGAAACATTTGCAACATGCCTCTAAAACACTTACAACATATGCAACATCCTCGATCTACATTTGCAACATCCATATGAAGAAATTGCAACATGTACCTCTTAAACGTCTGAAATACTTGAAACATACACTTGCAACATGCGTTTTCAGCGTAACATTTTCTTGCTGAGGTCGCGCGTTGCGGTGGCCATGGAGTTGACAGCGGCCACGACCTTCCGGTGGGGAACGACGGCGTCGGCAGCACCTCGGTAGCACCCTAGCAGCACCTTGGCGCATGCGGGGGACGGGACACGGCGCGCAGCAGCGGGGGCGTGGCGCGTGGCGCATAGCGAGCTGGAGTGGGCACGGTGGGGGATGGAGCGCGACACAGCAACGAAGGGGGCGCGGCGCAAAATAGGGGCGCGGCGCTGGATGGAGGAGCCACGTGGCGCGGGATAGGGTGCGCATCGAGCGCACGGCGCAGCTGCTTGCAATGGACGAGCACAGGAGTAAAAGATATTTTTTTAGGGAGAGATGGGAGAGACAAAGAGGAAGCAGGCCTGTTGGGCCGGTAGCGTGCAGGCCCTGCAAGCGGCGTCCAGATGGATGGACGCCCGCTGCTAAGCATTACCGGACCAATCTGTGCAAGACTAGTTTGAGAAGAATTTTTCTTAAAGTGTCACCAGGGGATGAATCCCCAACTGAATAGTACTGATATATTATCAGCAGCCTCATTTTTTTATAACAAAGCAAAAACCCTTTCGATTAATTTTGAAAAAACAAGACTAAAACCATACAACAACGTTAGCACAAGGGGATTATTTTCTATTTTTAATCCTTTATTATTCAATATTTTAATAATAACTGCTCCTAACTTTTTTTTAGCAAATATGAACATTTTGGTTGCGCCAGCGTTGCTGGCGCGACGAAATAACATTGTCGCGCCACATGCATTGGCGCGTCAACATATGACACGTTAGACGGCGTTTCCGACGTGGAAAAACCTTGTCACGCCACTTCTGTTGGCGTGATCGTTTTGTCGCGCCATCGGGAGTGGCACAATAAGACTGAACCTTAGAAAAATCATAAATTGTCGAACGACATTGGATAAAGATGAATTTTATATCAATATTGTAGCCCTCGAAAAGATCTACAAGGTTTTTCATTCGAGGACGTTAAGAAGCTCAAAAAATAATATAAACAAGAGCATAATAATCGACTAATGCTTATCGCATTAGAAAAATAATATCTTTTTTTGTATAATGTCAAATGAAGATACTCTTTACATCAAAGTTGTAGCTTTCAGCGAGATCTACAATTTTAGAGTTTGGAGTTGTTACATTTATGATCGTTAAGATGCTTGAAAAATAATAGAAAATTTCAGCAGCATATATAATCGTACTAGGATTAGGATTTAGAATTAAAAAATAATATTCCCCTCATTCCAAATTATAAGTCACTTTAAATTTTTGGTACATTCATTTTGTTATGCATCTAGATATAGTAATATGTCTAGATACATAACAAAATGGATGAATCAAAAAGTCAAAGCGACTTATAATTTAGAACGGATGGAGTATCATTTTTGTATGGTGAAAATTGAACATACATCTTTTATCACAGTTGTGGCTCTCAATGAAATCTACAACTTTATAGTTTTGAGTTTTTATATTTGAGATCGTTAACATACTCTAAAAATTAATAAAAAGTTTTACATGCATATTAATCATGCATTAGGTCTTGTCTTACTAAAATTATATTTTTCCTATATAGTGTCAAATGAAGATACTTTTTATATTAAAGTCATATCTAACTATGAGATCAACAACTTTTTAGTTTTGAGGTCTTTCATTTTAGATAGTTAAGATACCCAACAAAATAATGCAAAATTTTAGGACATATTAATCGTCTCAAAGCTTATCTTTTTAGAAAAACCATATATTTCTTATTTGATGCTGCATAAAAATACTTTTAAATGAAAGCTTTAGATCTCATGGAGAGCTGTAACTTTGATATAAAAAGTACCTTCTTTGACAACATACAAATACAGTATTATTTTTCTAATGCGATGAGCACTAGTATGCGATTATTATGCTGCTAAAAAATTTTATTATTTTTTCGTGCTTGTTAACGACATCAAATGTAAAAACTCAGAACTATAAAGTTGTTGATCTCATTGAGAGCTAGAACTTTGATGTAAAGAGTATTTTCATTTGACACCATACATAAAAGATATTATTTTGCTAATGCGACAAGCACTAGTCTTGTGATTATCGTGTTCTGAAATTTATATTATTTTATGAGCATCTTAACATGTTCAGATGAAAAACTTAAAATTAGAAAGTTGTAGATTTTATAGAGAGCTAGAATTTTCATATAAAATTCATCTTCATCGATGTCGTATTGAAAAGTTTTATTTTTTTCTAAGATTCAGTTTTTGTCACTCTATTCGGTGGATAAAAAAAAACAACACCGTTGAAAGGTCCTTGTTGGTTTTGGTAATTGAGTGACAACCTAGGTGGACTAATTGTGTTTATGTGAGATACACAGGTGATTAGTCCACGGTACATATGTATGAGCAACATATGCCATGGAGGTGAAAATGGCTTGGAGATGTTGCAAAGCTCACACATGTGATGATGAAGGAGCTTATTGCACATGAGACTTGACATTGAGTCATGTGATCAAGGTGGAAAAGATCAATACAAGACTTGGCTTGATGGACGGTTGCAAGCGTGAAGGGCAAGTTGAAGGCTTTGGAGTGATGGACAGCGTGGCGGTGAAGCTTGAGCAAGACTTGGCGTGCGCCGATGGACGATGGCAGCGGTGAAGAGCAAGTAGAGTCAAGATCGATGAACCAATATGATCATGTGATGATATGAAGTGAATCATATCATTGTTGATCATGTTGGTGCATGTGTTACATCGACATTGAAGGAGATGGAATGGAATGCGCAAGGAAAAGGTATAACCTAGGGCATTTCATTTCACGGTCATAGGTGTGTAGAGAAGTTTATGACCGGGTTTAGGATAGATGGCCGTACTATCAAGAGGGGCAAACTTGTTTGCATATCGGTCATCTAGTGCCACTCGAGTGATCTAACTTTGCATTGTCGCTAGGATCGAGTGGCGTGGCAAGTTGAGTGGCTAACATCCTTTGGGAAATGATTGTGAAAATGCTAACACACATACACATGGTGGTGTACACTTGGTGGTGTTGGCACATTTACAAAGGAGGTGGTGTTTGCAGGGGTGAGATGGGTTTGGGTCCCTCTCTCCCTCCCGCCGAGCTTGCGAGGCGAGATTCGGCGCTTTCGGGAAAATAGAATGCCTATTTTCTATTGCGCCGGATGCAAGTTCTTGGTGGTTGGCTCTTTGGAGCAAGGATGAAGAAGTTAGAAGTGAGAACGAGTTAGTCACGAAGATGCTGGCGTCGGTCAACTGACCGGACGCTGGATCTGAATGCTCTGCCGACCGGCAAGCCGCTGCGTCGTCAAGGTGACGATCTGATGACGATGAAGAAGTTGGAGTGTGACGGACGCGGCTACATCCGATCAAAGTGTGACCGGACGCGTCCGGCCGAGGTCGGTACCTTATTGAAATGACCGGACGCCTGGGGGTTCAGCGTCCGGTCGATTCTTCTTGCCATGTCGGTCAAGTCAAGTGACCGTTGGAACCGGGACACGTGGGTCTGTTTCATGGGCGACCGGACGCCGAGGTCCAGCGTCCGGTCAACAACGACACCGGAGCGTCCGGTCGGCCCGACCGTTGCCCAGTAAAGGGGTAACGGCTAGTTTAGCCCTTGGGGCTATAAATAGAAGTGGCCCTCGGCCATGGCTAGTGCTGAGCACCTCAAGGGACTTAGTGTCCATGCTTGTGAGTGCTTGGGAGCCCTCCATCACACACATACTTGATAGCGATCATCCGATTGTGTGAGTGAGCGATTCTAGTGCGATTGCATCGTGAGGTTGCATCGAGTGGCACTAGGTGATTGAGTTGCGAGCCGGTGGTGCTTGTTACTCTTGGAGGTTGCCACCTCCTAGACGGCTTAGTGGTGGTCTCCGTCGAAGCCAGCGCAAGAAGCTTGTGCGGCGCTCCGGAGAAGTGCTTGTGAGGGGTACTTTGTGCTCGCTCATGGGAGTCGCCAAGAGCAACTTTAGTAAAGTGTGTCATTGAGCTACCCTCACTCAAGGGGTAGGTTCTTGTGGCGCCTGACGTGCGGGCTTGGCGGGTGATGCCAATTAGCCACCGAACCACCAAG